AAGCGTATGGTAACCGTCTTCTTTTTCATATAAGGCACATCGCCTGGAGTAATCTTCAACATAATCCATAATAAGAGTATTTATGAAATTCCGACGCCAGTTGAAGGATGGAGACACTCTATACTTAGGACCTTTTAAAATTATTGATGTTAGGTCCTCATTATTAAATACATTTACATAACCTATCCAGCAGGACTAAAGTTATAGAATGAAGAGCATGAACGCGGTGTAGTATTAATTTCAGATATTTAATATCCAGCCCCTGTAAAGTTTTCTTTTAATGAAAAAAGCTTGAAAGCAATTGACTATGTATATTTGTAGGAAATACAAGATATACGAGGGCTGTTCTGAATTCTATGACATACATCATAGATATCATATGACATTAAGCTTGACTTTATCTCATTATTGAATATTTAAAATGATTAATAAAAGTTTATGTGTCCACTTATCATCACATAAGTTCATTTTGAGAAGCTGGATAACATTCGGGTATTCGAGCCATTGCTTTAAAAATGAATGGTAAAAAGAAAATCAGTAAACTGGCTTCATCAAAGCAGATTTCAAGCTTGTTAAAATCCCAAAGTAATACCCTCTGAAATATTTAAAATTTACAGCAACCAATGTCTGTTTTATAGACACATGAGCAGGTGCATTTCAATGAACAAAACGATATTATGGGCATCAAATATGGCTACCGTCCTTGGTGACAAATTTGTTAAATTTTATCTCCAATGTACTATTTGCCAAAATTCAACAAATAATCACTGATGATTTATGATTGACTTTAAGACACATAGCAAGTTTGATATACATATATAATTGTGGGAATAACTCACACTGTTTTGAAAAATATTTGAAAGTAAAAAGCTGATATAATTAGTACTCAAAGGCCATCCTATGTTTGGAGAAAGGAGTGAAAACGACAGCATGTAAGCATATATAAACATTTTTTTTTTAATCAGAAATTTTATTTACCCAAATTGAAATTCAAATAGATAATTAAACTTTAATCTATGGCTTAAATCCCTCAAAACAAATATAAAATAAGATGTACTTGACAAAGAACAGCAAAGGTCTTATTAGAAGAGCAAAGAATTGCAAGGACGCAACGACAGATTTATATTCCATTTTCATAGATTTTTGTGACATTGTTGTTCACATTCGTATTCGGAGAGGCAGTTAAATTTCTGAAGGTGTGTAGAATTTTATTTTTTTGCAAAATAATCGAAAGGTTTATGAGAAGAAGGAACCAGAATCAGGAATACTATAATATTACATTATTACATTTCTTCCTGACAGCATCCAAACCCACATGCCCTGAAAAGTAAAGTGGTTTGGGGGATAAACAGAAAGTTTGTCGTACAACTAGATCTTTCACCTTTCCACTTGTTTCATTTTCCAAACTTGAAAAAACACCTTTCAGATAAAAGAAGCAAGTCCAGGAAATCATAGGATCCGTCATATTCGAGTATACGAAGGGTCATACCCCTAAATGAGTTCTAAAAACATTAAGACATTTTATAAAATGTTACGGACGTGTATTCAATAATTAAAAGAGATTGTTATACCTTTAGAAATTTGTTCCTATACAATTCTATACAAAAAAAGTCTAACATTTTTAATGTTTTGCTGAGCGGGCATAAAAAAATCGATGTTGGACCGCTGAGTGAGATGTTGGACCGCTCGGAGAGATGTTGGACCGCTTACGTCACAGAGTGGGCGGAGCTTAATCTCATTTTCATTCGCTGGTGTTAAACAGTGATAGATCTGATGTTACATCACGGACCTAAGTACAAAATACATGTAAATATATAAAAAATAAAATAAAATAAAATGAAAGGTATAACAAAACATTTATTGACAGAGTTCGAGGGCAACATGCGTTTTGTCGTACCCTCGAACCGAACAGTCTGCCTTCGGCCTAACGGCCTCAGGCAGACAGTTTGGTTCTTGGGTCCGACAAAACGCATGTTGCCCTCGAACTCAGTCAATAAATGTATAATATTTATGTGAAATCATTATGAATAAATCATTGAAAAGCGTTTTCTTTTCGAGCAGCGAGGACATTATTTATTGAACACTAGGCTATGTTAAGGGTCGATATGAAAAATGTGACTTTAGCACCGTTTAATTATATATTACATCTTTTAAAAAATTGTAACAAAGCTACTGAATACCCGTAGAAAATGTAATATAGTTATCTATCATGGACAGGACTAAGCTGCCGTACACAGGACCAGTTATATAGCATGTATCAGCTGTTTGTCAGTCACGTGACTTGTATAAAAATAGAATTGTTAAGCTGAATGAAGGAAATGAGGATAGTGCAATGGCATACACTTGCTTTTCAAGACAAAAATTTATACACCTTTAAAGATGTTAATTTTCTCTACCCAAAAAGTGCTGTGAGCTAGTCTGTGGTGTTTGGAAAGTACTGGAAACTTTGACTAAAATGTACATAATAGCTAAAAATTCCCACTTCGCATAATTTTTGTTATGACTTAAAATAATGTTATGCAGATCAGGATAAGCTCCCAGCTTCAAAAGTTATGTTCAATGTATGTTTTTTTTAAAGTAGGTCAAACTCCAAGGTCAAAAGGTCAAAGTTCTTTGTATCCAATGAAATGTCTTTTCACATTGATTTCATATGTGAAGTATGAAAGCCCTATCTCTTACCTTCAAAAGTTATGGCCAAGTTTAAAGTTTTTTTACAGGCACAGATATCTCAAAGGTCAGGGTGATTAGGTCAAGTTTATTGGTATCCAATGAAAGATATTGCCACAAAGAATACATTTGTGAAATATAAAGGTCCTAGTATCTAGTAAAAGTTAGAATTTTTTGTGTAAAAGTGGGTCAAACTCCAAGTTCGAGGTCAAAATTTCAAATTTTGTGGTACCCAAGGAAAGGTCTTGTCACAAGGAATACACATGTGAAATATGAAAGTCATAGCTCCACTAAATTAAAAGTAATCGGCAAGGTTAAAGGTTTTTGTGACTGACGGACGGACAGACTGACAGACAGACAGACAGAGTGACAGACAGACGAATGAGATTTAATGTCCCCTCGCTTTCGCGAAAGTGGGGGACAATAAAAGGTATGCCTGAATCATCTTAATACTTTGCCAAGGAAAATCAAACTCGATCGAGCGATTCGATTACCGGTATGTTTTGCAGTCGGTAATAACCCTTAACCCCTTTGAATAACAATAAACCCGTCCGTCTATGCCCAGTAGTATAATTAAGTCAAATATGTTTTTTTTTTCATGAGGGGTACTGTATAGATAATTCAAATCCTTTCAACTTTCAAAAATAAATAAACATTGCTTTAAAATGGGCTAGAATGTTGTTTTTATGAAATTATTTAACACGACAACGTTATGTTGTGTCTATAATTACATCTGTATTTTTATACTTTGTAATATGCAGGATCGATCAAAGAAGAAGGTACAGTATCAATACAAATCTTGCCTTGTGATTCTCTAAAAATTGAAACTGATGTAAAAAATGTACACTCAAGTATCCTGAATTATTGAAACTCTATGCATAAAAATTATACAAATCATTTATCTCACACTTATTTCTAAATGCTCATTGATGTAATAAACTTGTGCATTTTCCAATTTTTTGCTTATAATGGTGAAGAAGACACCAATTTTAAATGGAATTTTCTTTCATGAAATATTGTCCAAGGGCATCGCCCACAAAGATTTTGAGATATTTTGCTATGTATTTTGCACAACATATCCAAATATGAAAGTAGGCGACGGCTGTGGACACTCTAAAGAAGAATTCCCCTGAAATGGGTCATTTTGAGGTTTTTATTCCCGAACTTTCTAAAGGAAATGCTACACTGTATGTCTGCCTAACAGGTCGATAGGCTGGCATGTCTACAGGTTGACTATTTGTTCATAAAACTGCTATTATGTCTGCTTAACTGGTCTACAGGTAGACAAGTAGACATGTCAACAGATTGACAGGTCGACATTTTGTTAATAAAAAGGCTACTATGCATGTTTAACAGGTCGACAGGTTTATTTAAATATTTAATTCTGTCGACCTGTCAACATGTTTTCATAGTACTGGATTGTCAAATGGAGATATATACATCTAAATGTTATCAGACATTGAAATGGCAAGCCAAGCATTTTATTTAAGAGCCTGGCAACATTACGATGCCTCCGTGATCGCCAAAGCAGCTAATATACGTCGTGTTTTTTTATGCATGTACTAGTTATTTTTCGTCGATTGTCATATGTCCGTGTGGCTACAGAGCATTACTCATTATTTTTTCCTTAGAAAATATAAAGGGGTGTTAAGAAAGTTCATTCCAGGATGAATTATTTTCAAAAATTTCAAAGTAGAGCTTATATAAAGAGATGAATTTTAAAGTCTGACAAAATCACAAGAGTGTGCTTTAGATTTATAGCAATTCATTTCTAGCAAGAACTTAAGGGATTTTTCTTCCATATGAAAATATATATAACATCTTTAAAGTACCCGAATGATAGAAATGCCGGTCATTTTGAGTGAAAATAAAGGATAAGTTACTTTTGTTTCTTCATAGCTTATCTTGCATCAAGGAACCTTGATGAGCATAGAAGAACAATAGATCACTTTTCAAAAGAATAGGTTTGTCAATTTGAATTTTTTTTTACAGATCTGATAATTTTTGCACCGTATCTGAAAGGATGTTTTGACCCGTGTGCTTAATAAATGTCACAAATATGCATCATTCCTTTTTTTAACAGAAATCATCCGTTTGAATACCTACTCTCTCCTTATTGATTCAACAAAAGAAAGTTAAAACCTTATCAGTAGAAAGAATGAACTCTGTAAACATGAAATATCACAAATTGTAAATATCTTCTAACAGTATTTCTTTTGGAATATAAAACAAAAATGTGGAACGAACTTTCTTAACACCCTTTAGATCAATCAATCGAATCTAAGAAGTTTCGCAAGCTTTTTAAGACAAGCTTAGATTAGACCTATGCTTACCTTTTTTCCTTCGTCTGAAGAAATTGCAGCATGATCGAAAGTATTGCCCTAGAACTGAAAAGAGCGATATAAAAATAAAAAATCTTACTTAGAAAACCCTGTGATTTGCCATAAGGGAATACCCAAAACTATGAAGCTGGTTAGAGATGTGGTTCTGTTTGCATGTACCCATTCTATACAAATTGCTTCGAAATATGAATTGATGGATAATTCGTGAAGCTACAGTAAATTATTATAATTGTTTATTATCCTTGATCAGTCTCAAAATAACTTTACATGCATAAAGATAAATGATGTAGAAAATTATTTAAAATTGATACCATGTTCTAATGTTTCCTAATAATCGATCAGTTTCTAGTTAACTTTTAATTTTAATAACATTGTTTAATTAGTCGGCCGCGTGGTGCAGTAATTAGAGCTACTGCTCTAGAGTCGCAAAGTAAGGAGTTGATCCTCATGGGATCGATTCCTACTGTGGGACGTGGACACCGGTCATCTGTATGAGACCGACGCCGGTCCAATCAAAACTTTCACAATTTGGTTTCGGTGGTGGGGTTGGTGGTCAAGTCCACCTGAATTCATAAAAGTTTATAATAATTTACACCCCCATGCCCCTACCAGCTGCATATATTCACACACAACAGAAATTAAATTAAACAAGAGGTCCAGGGGCCACAGCGCTCACCTGAGCACATCGGCTAGGAAAAAGCACATATCAGATCAGAACTGAAAGTTTAGTAACGTTGCGGGGGGGGGGGGGGGGGGGCTTGAATTTTAACCCCCCAGGGGATCATGATTTGAACGAACTAGAATCTACAATACCTGAGGAAGATTCCATATAAATATTACTAATCATGGCTTTGAAGTACTTGATAAGAAGATTTTAAAAGGTTTCCCTATATATTCCTATGTAAAACTTTAAACGGCCATTATGGCCCCACCCTAGCCCTGATGCCATGATTTGAATAAACTTGAATCTACATGTACACTATCTGAGGAAAATTTCACATGAGTTTCATCTTTCCTGTCTTAATGGTTAATGAGAAAAAGATTTTTAAAGATTTTTCCAATATTTTTAAATTCCTATGTAAAACTTTGATCGGCCATTATGGCCTCACCCTACCCAAAGGGGTCATGATTTGAACAAATTTGAATCTACACTGTCTGAGGATGATTGCACATGAGTTTTATCTTTCCTGGCCCAGTGGTTCTTAAGAAGAAAATTTTTCTTATGTATTCCTATGTAAAAGTTTGATCGGCCATTTTGGCTTCATCCTACCCCTAGGGGTCATGATTTGAACAAACTTGAATCTACACCACCTAAGGATGATTCCACATGAGTTTCATCTTTCCTGGCCAAGTAGTTCTTGAGCAGAAGATTTTAAAAGATTTTTCCTTAATATTCCTATGTAAAACTGTGATCGGCCATTGTGGCCACACCCTACCCCCGGGGGTCATGATTTGAACAAACTTGAATTTACACTACCTGAGGATGCTTCCCTATAAGTTTCATCTTTCCTGGCACGGTGGTTCTTGAGAAGAAGATTTTAAAAGAATTTTCCTATATATTTCTATGTAAAACTTTGATTGGCCATTGTGGCCCCGCCCTACCTCCGGGGGTCATGATTTGAACAAACTTGAATTTAAAATACCTGAGGATGCTTCCATATAAGTTTCATCTTTTCTGGCACAGTGGTTCTTGAGAAGAAGATTTTCAAAACATACCATCAAATTTTCACTATTTCTCAATTATCTCCCTTTGAATAAGGGCGTGGCCTTTCATTTGAACAAACTTGAATCCCCTTCACCTAAGAATACTTTGTGCCAAGTTAAGTTGAAATTAGCCCAGTGGTTCTTGAGAGTTTACGACAACAACGGCAACGACGACGACAGACAACGAACAAATTTTGATCAGAAAAGCTCACTTGAGCCTTCTGCTCAGGTGAGCTAAAAAGTATGAACATTCACACACAGAAGACAGAAATTAAAAAGTGTGAAAAAAATAGTGATGCAACTGTGTCCATGACCCTTTTATATCATTTTGTGAATTTACACTTCCATTACAATATAACACTTACATGTTTTAAAGTCCCTCTCGTCAGACCGTTTGTATAAAAAGATGAGGATGGCGAAGAACAACAAGAGAAGGACCAAGAAAACAAGTGATGTTGCAATTCCGGCTATCTCTCCTCGAGAAAGGTTTTCTCCCGTTTCCCCATGATGACTTATATTAAAAGGAAGCTGTGTAGAACTATTATCTAGGCGAAGCGACCTGCCAAAACAATTAAAACAATTCAAAATACAAGTGTGAGTTTTATTTTCTTTGGCATTATTTTTTCTACAAATAATCTTTAAGTCGATTATTTCCTTTAAAAATGTTACCAGGGATTTATCTTCAATTCAAGAATAAAAACAATGAAAGAATCAGGTTCATTTATCAACGGACAACCAAGCATGCTTATTAAACTATCTTATGACTAAAAGCATCTTTTAAGACTTACGATACATCAAAAGTCCTAGTCATCGAAAATATATCCTATCATATGAGACTTTCTAATTTTGATTCTATCTTTAATTCGACGGCGAGCTTATCCTTATTCAGATTACAGGCGATTTAAAAAGGCGCTAGTGAAATTGGCTAAGATGCGCCCTAAGACGTGTCCGAAGTAATATCCTAAGAATATTTTAAGGGGGAACTATGTCGTTCTATGTCAAAGCAGCGTTATGTGACGCCAACATAGCGACGTTTGTTTTTATCTGTTGAATTTTGCAACTGTGATATAGGCATAACATTCTTAATAATCAATAACATACAAAATTTACAAAAAGAAAATTTTATTCATCATTAATTACCGTTATATTTGATTTATGGAGTTTGTTAAAATTAGAATTCTCTTCATTTGGTTAATAATTCATAACAATTTCATTGACCCAATATATTATTAATATCATGAAAATTAGGAAAGCAAAAGTTACACTAGGCTATAAAAAATTTAGAATTCTTATCAATCAGATAATTATAATATTCGATTAAAATGTGGACAAAATATAAATATGACAGAGGAAATTCCGACTGCTAAAATTATCATATATTCACATCCACTGAATATCTCCTTTATTTCTTAAGAAAACCCATTGCGTTAATCAATGCATGAACTACAGAAGGCTTTTCACCTGTAAAGATTTCTTGATCAGTGGCTGTTCCATCAATGAAACGTATAAAAACGTTCGCATCATTAATACAATAAATAATCTTTTTAATCCTACTTTAAATGATTATTTAAACAAATATAAATATAAGCAATAAAATATCTTTCTCTGTTTGTTATAACTGGAATTAACGGTCGCAGCTATTACAGAAAAAATTTACATAAACGGCGTAAGCGGGTTATGTATTTTTTCTGCAACAGCTGCTTTTGTTGTTGCATTTTTTGTTTAAGTTAATGGCCCAAACTCTAGTATATCTTAATTTGAAGCAACACTGTTGCATTGCTGTAATATATCATTATTTAAAGAGTTTTGTAATATTTTGTGAGTTTGTGAGAAAAATTGGTCATATTATGTAAAAATTAGATACATGTATTTCCAGAGAAATACTCAGGAGCCACTAGCATGAAAAGTATGTCATTGACTTAGTTTTTTGAAATTAAAATCTAACACAGGAATCATAGGTGTAAAATGTGCAATAGGTGGTTTTTCGTTCTTTTCAGTGGAATTTTTAGTCATCTGAGTAAAGGTTCATGTATACCTTAAAGGTACTTGGACACAGATTTGAAGTCAATATTTTCTTTATAATATTACGACTTACATATTTCAATAGCATTTCACACAAATTTTCACAAAAATTTTAACCTTATTCTTAATCCTAAGAATAGTTGCAATCTTGTTGTGTATTAATGAGAAATATTAAAACTTTTATCCAGAAAAATAATTTTATTCAGAGTAGAAATGTTAGAAAGTAAAACTCATTCACAAGTATCGTCATTCCGAACGAAGAGTTGCATACAGAGTTTAGCAAATCGAGCACACCCGTATTATGTACACAGTTTATTGTTGATGTTTACAATTCACCGGGTGCGTTCATTCGTCACAGTCTGCTTACCACAACTGCACGGACTGACAATATATTGTGTGTTGGTCTTGCTTTCGAACATATCTACTCTGCATTTTCTGTATTATAGTATTAATATTTTTCATTTATGCACACCACTTTTCCTAAGGATTAAGAATAGATTTAATTTGTGAAAGAGCAAAGATGCATCGATCAAACCCGCCAAAAAAATTGAAATTTAAATATTTTTTATATGAAATAAGATTTTTTATCAATTTTTGTGTGAAATGCTATTAAAAGATATAAGTTGTAATATTATAGAGAAAATAATATTTTCAAATCTGTGTTTAAGAACCTTTAAGGTGTAAAATGGAAGCATCTTAGGAATTTCCTAAGTTGAAATGTCGTAAATTCCATCTTCAGCATTTTTTAAAAGCATTACATAAAGTCCAAATTCCAATCTTCCTTCTTATATCTGTGTGGATTAAGGAGGTTGAGATCGTGGGGTGAAGATATCTGAATTCAGGAAAGTATAATTATAAAAGTTAACACCTCCCCTCCCCTACCATCGCTTAAATTTATATATTTACACACAGAAAATACAACAGCCGTGTTTATGAGACTTTCCTAAGATTTGTACTAAGATTATTCCTAAGATACGACTTAGGAAGACAGTAAGGAACATACGAAGACATATTACAAGATTTATGTCGACGATAACTTAGGAAGATCTTAAGTAAGGACATCCTAACTTACAATGAACACTTGTTTCATTGACAATTATTGATGAATATAGACATTTGGAGACATTAAATTATAGCAAACTGAAAGAAAATAGAAAACATTAAAAAAAAAAAAAAGGCAACCCATTTAGTTGTACATGTGACCTCAGTATATTTTGATGTTTGCATTTTTAAAATTATACGATATTTAGTGCCGCTCAGAACATAAAAACATGTCAATAGTTTCGTAGTCTCGTAACAGCATGTAGTATATAAGAAAATATCGGGAGGGGATGGTCCCTCGATATTTTCCGGAGTTAAGTTTATTGCTATTAATCTATGATAGAAGTTTTGATAAATGAAGGGTCCATCTCACCTTCACTTTTAGTTTACGACCAATCTCCCCCAACACCCCAACACACACACGCGCGTATTAAATGATTTTGAGAATGAAAACCTTTCTTTTTCATGACAAAGTGTTTCCGGAAATTTTAGTTTTGGGCAATTCATTTACATTATTCCCTTACAATAAAAGTCAGTAATATTTTATCCCTTCTTAATAGTCTGGTCCAGATTCATAAAAAGAAGGCTAGAAATAACTTCTCACGGCAAATAATTATTAATTGGTCCGGCATAGTTTTTAACCTAGTATGCTGAATCCGACAAAAATTTGCTGGCCTTCATGAAGATGACATTAAAAAGGTTAAAATGACGATTCAAAATGGCGGGTATTTATTTTTTCAAATTATTTCTTAATGTTCGAATAGGAGAAAGACTTTATATAAATCTTACTGAGCGTAGTTCAACTATGAAAATGACAATAAAGCACTTATATTATCACATTAATTTGGAAGATTTGATTGATTAAATTTGAAATGTCTTAATTAGCACAAAATGGCGATTTAAAATGACGAACACTAGAATTTCGCAGAATACTCACACTGCTTAATTCTGAGTCGTTTTGCACAAAATAAATTCATTACAGTTTTTTTATTAATAAAATGATGTTCAAATGTTCAATTAAAGTTGGAGGAAATTGTTGTTAATTACTTTTTAATTTTACTGCATTACAATAAATTACTTTTAACGACAATACCGAAGATTTTTTACATCTTACCTGTCTCACCATATGCTTATTCATGTAAGAAGTTTATATTGTCATACTGTGATTGCTGTTTAAAGGACAATATGCCAATTAAGCTTCCCCAAAGGCTGTATTCTCCGAGCATAAAGGCAAGTGGACTTTGTAGTTCGAGGGTTGTAAAATCATATCAGTTGTTAGAAATTCTTGATATATTCCTATTCCAGTATGATTCAAGATGATAAAGTTTGAGAATTTTCAATTTAAAAGTCTTGCTGATAGAATGTCCTTTCTACCCCAAAAGACAACAAATCTATCAACAAATAAACAAATCTATACGATCACAAAATAGAAAGATAGACTACATTATTAAAATCAGAGATTTTTTCCCATTTTGCATTAGGTTTTGGAAAACAAAATTTATTTTTTACATTAAAAATGAAGGTGTAGTAGTACCTTGAGTGTTGAAAAGACCAAACTCCCGAAGACAGACTGAAACATATAGCAATTAAAGGTGGAATAGAAGATAGGGGGATAATACTAAGCTTTTACACGTGCTAAATTCAAAAGCTAGTAAAAAAGGTACGATGAAATGGAACAAAGTTTTTTTTTCAGTAATTTTCGATGCTGGGTGATGATGAAGTGGGAGTGCGAATTGATAAAGACAGCGATTCAGGATTGATTTTAGGTGGAAAGGGGTTCAAAAGCTTTGGAACACGGTTAAATATGAGGGAAACATTTGGAAATTTTCAAATCTAGTTTGCTTTAACTATTTCAAGAAAAAAACTTAAAACTTTTTTGTTTGTTTATAAAATGAGCTAATCAATATAATCGGCTAAACTCAGAAGAAAAGGACACCAAGAGAAATTCTTCTACCTATTAATTTTGGTATACCTTACAAAATACCCGGCCTCATCCCATCAACCATTTTTAAAAAGCATTGTTAAAGCTCGCTGTGTGTAGAAGGGAGGGAGGAGAAGGGATGATTGGATTGTTGAAGATGGACTGGAATGTGGCGATATTGGTTAAGTCATTCTTTGCTGAGTGAAGGAGAAGTCTTCAGTTCCCTAAGCACTGCTCTAGTACTGTTTTGAGTACCCTCTTACAACTCTAGCTATCAAAGTAGCATATTATGTACCGATTTGCTATTGCTTATTTTTTCTAGAGATAGACACATGTAGAATGCATTGGAGCCTTTCTAAAGCCTGCAATTATTCCTTTTAAATTGATTCGGCGAAAAAGCAGTCTTTTCCAGAGCTTCAGAAAAATATACACATGTATTGAATATCATTCACTCATTGTAGTGCATGTCAATAGAAGATTTAGGAAAAGAAAAATTAATTGATCCCAAAAACCCTTGTTTGAAGGTTGCGTTACAAATACACAGTGTACACTCACGTGTACAAAAATTATTTATA